CTTCGTCTAGTCTTTTACTGTATGGGTTTGGACGGGGAACGGGATGTAATTTAATTTTTTCACTTTGTTTTCTCTACTTTCTGACACCCAAAAGCACATAACGATACACCGATTAAACAAATAATAACAAGAATAATAATAATAGTAATAATAACAAGAATAAAAATAACAATAAGAACAACAATAACAGGAAGAAGAAAATAGTGACATAACAACGATAGAAATAAGGAATTTTACCTCCTATAGCAAAGGTTGATACCTTATTTATTTTAAATAGATACCCTTTTAAAAAAATTATATTCCGTAGCTGCCTTTTGATTTTTATAGCCAAATATCTATTTATGGTCACCTCCTCCCCTTAAGCCATAAAATACGCTTTGTATTATTTTTCTCTCTCATTCTTTCAGATTTTGCTCCACCCTCTCTCTCTCAACGCCAGTCTTTCTACATGAATACAACCATGATTCTCCACTGATTCATCTCAATTGTCTCGCGAAATTTTTATTGTCAGTGGGCTGGGGCTCTGAATCAATGTCGAAATCAAGCCCTAGAGAGAAAGATGGAGGTTCGAAATCTGCCATTGAAAGGTGAATTGAGGGAAATTTTTGAGGGGTTGTATATTTGAAATATGAATTGGAGGGATTTGCAAATGAAATTATAGTGAAATTTTGCGGGAATTTCTTTCGTTTTTGCGCCAAATTTTGAGAGTTTCGATTCAGAATCGCGGCCCTCTCGACGAGACAACATTAGGGTTGTTCTTGAACAAAGACGACAGAGTTTGGGGCTGAGCAACTTGAAGAGTCTGTTACCTTTTTTTCATTGTATTTCAATGTATCTCGCTGTATTCTATGTATTTCATTGTATTCATTGTCTTTTTTTTATTGTATTTCAATGTATCTGACTGTATTCCATGTATTTCATTGTAATCACTGTCTCGCTATATTCGATGAATGTATTCATATATTTTTTTTAATCAATATAGTTTATGCATTCAGATGTATATATGTATTCAAATGTATATGCAGTATGTATTCATATGTTTTTTGCACTATAGATGACCTGCTATACTTCATGTAGTTAATATATATTTATGTATTTAAATGTATTCATTGTAATTATATAATTTCAATATATAAATCTATTTATAAAGACACCATTAAAAAAAGAAAGGATGGATTGAATCTCTGAAGATTGCTCTGTTTTTGGGGTGTTTTTCGGTTGAGAATCTTTTCTATCACTGGAAATACAAATTTTATGCGTTATAATTGAGTTAGTTGAGTTATATTAGGAGTCTATCGCGTTAATTGATTCACTTACCGTTTTTAAACAGCTTAAGACCTTCTTTTTTCGCAAATTCCGTTACTGTATTCACGAATACAGCTCGACAATACAGTCGAATACATTCTCTTCTCAGCTGGACACCCCTGTTTTCGGCCGAGTTTTGCTACTGTATTCATGAATAAAATAGCAAAAATATATCGAATACAGTCTATAACAACTGAAAACATAGCTATAGGAAGTAATTTAGTAAATGGTAGCTATAACAAGCTAATAATCACTAAAACATAGTAATTTCTGAAAATTTCTCTAGAAATAACTAAGTGAAAACAGTTTTGGATTTGGGAGGCCTACTTGACTGGAAACAAATGGGCTAAACTTGGGCCAGCCCCATCACTCACTTATGGCCAAATACATATGCGGCCCCTTAAATTTGTCAAGAACTTCCAGTTAGACACTTGAATTAAGACTACAACCTATTAAGCACTTGATGTTAGTGAAAAATGTGTCTATTGGCCCTCAAAAACAACTAGTCAGAAAAACAAAGAGCGTGCAACTCACATGTGTATGACATGTCTAAATGAAATTTCTTGACAAGTTTAAGGGGCCACAGATGTATTAGGCCTTCACTTATCCGTTTGATGACAAATATGATAGGCTGGGGTCCAATGACGTCCAACATTTAGGAGCCCAACTTCTATCAGTAAGAAGTGGGGGATTTGCATCTATACCCGTTTTTTGTGTCACATTTTAACTTGTGCCCGCTTTGCAAAAAAAATTGCAAGCGTACCCGCTTTTTCGCATAACTTCAGCACACGGGGCTGAAGTAGCAAAGGCAATCACGCAAAACTTCAGCATTCTAGTAGCCGGGCCTGAAGTTCAGCTCTAGAGCTGAAGTTTTTATTTTGTAACTAGCGAACTTCAGCTCTAGCTGAAGTTCTTGTGTTGTAACTGGAAACTTCAGCCCCAGAGCTGAAGTTGCTGTGTTGTAACTGGAAACTTCAGCTCTAGAGCTGAAGTTTTTGTGTTGTAACTGGGGAACTTCAGCTCTAGAACTGAAGTTTTTGTGTTGTAACTGGAAAACTTCAGCTCTAGGGCTGAAGTTTTCTTAAAAGAGGTCCTTTTTTCCTTTTGAATGTATGCTTTCACTGCACCTATTGTATCCTCTGGTTCAACCATTAAAGAGAACTCATCCTGAAGCACCGGCAAGTTGAGGGAATGAGTACGTAAATTGGAAGTTAGAATCAATATCATCGTCTGTAGTGTTTATAGAGATTAAGCACATCGTCTGTAGTGTTTATAGAGATTAAGCACCTCGTTTGCAGTCAATGAAAACAAAACCCATTATTTTCTCAGCAACTTTCAACTTTTGGAACACTAAAACACAATACTTCAGTTTCTTCCATTTTTGCTTTCTAATTTAGATTATAATGCATGCAGAAATGGGGAAAGAGTGCCAGGGGTTTGTGGTAGAGGAGCTAAGGGTCTCCACAAGGGACAGTACCACAGTACTAGAAAAAAAGAAGAAGAAGAAAACGAAGGAGGAGAAGGAGGAGGAGAAAGGAGCTGAAATTTTTTAAAAAGTGGGTACAAGTTAAAAGTTTAAAAAAAAAATGGGTATAGGTTAAATGGGGGCGACCAAATAGGGCGCCCCGTGCAATTTTTACGTAAGAAGTTGACCCATGAATACATTGTGATGATAGATACTAAACCTGGTGGATCTGTGGTTTCTGTAGCTTTAGGAGTAAATAAAGTTCGATAAATGAAAATACTCTTTGCATGACTGCTTGATAACAATAAAATAGGGGAAAATACAAAATTGGTCGGTCAGCTGAAACTAAATTCATTCGCTAGCCAAAAAGTGTATGAAATATGTACAATATACGCATATAGTACACATGTAGGGGTATTATCACTTTTAGCCCGCGCTAGGAAGTATTTACATCTGGTAGCCGTAAAATTATATAAAATTTGAGAGCGGTTATACAATGTCATTTTATAAAAAATACAGATTTTATCGGCTATTGATTTTGAGACCAGCTAAAAGTATACATATCTCTAAAAAAATGACATGCTAAATTTGGCCCACTCATGAATTTGGGTCATTCAATATGGGCCTGGTCACCAATACTTTACGAAATTTGGCCCAACTTACATAGAAAGCACCATTGAAAGTATTTTTACATACCTATACACTATTGGAATTTTTATTACCCTCCCTACTCAAGTTTCAATTTAGTTATCATTTATATACAAATTTACCAATTATATACACTTTAGAAATTTAAATGAGTATCCATTTATATTAGGAATCAATTATTTCCCATCCTTATTCTCTCTCCCTCATGCTCTCTCTCTTTTTCTCTCTCTCTCTCACTCTCCGTCTCTCTCTCTCTCTCTCTCTCTCTCTCTCTCTCTCTCTCTCTCTATATCTATCTATCTATCTATCTATCTATCTATCTATCTATCTATCTCTCAATCCCTAATTCCAGTAATCTAGAGCAAAGGAAAAGAGAGCAGCAATTCCACCATTGACAGCCATTAAAAAGCTTTGAAGCCTTGAATTCGAATTTGGGTTTTCAAAAAATATTATTTGTTTGAATTGGGTGTTGTTGCAAACAATTGGAATTCTCTCTACGTCTTTCTCTATCTCTCAATCCCTAATTCCAGTAATGTAAAGCAAAGGAAAAGAGAGCAGCAATTCCACCATTGACAGCCATTAAAAAGCTTTAAAACTTTGAATTTGAATTTGGGTTTCAAAAACCATTATTTGTTTGGATTGGGCGTTGTTACAAACAATTGGGAATATTTTTTGGAGTTTATATCTCAATTTTGAGGGTGTTTTGGTGAATATTAGACTTGTTTTTGGCTGAATTTCAGATTGAAACTCGAAGAAGAAGAAGAAGAAGAAGAAGAAGAAGAAGAAGAAGAAGAAGAAGAAGAAGAAGAAGAAGAAATACATTCTACTTACGAAATTGTAGTAAAGTTGTAGTAAAATTGTATGCTCTTGTTTATATATATATTTTTATTTAAATATTATATGAAAGTTGAACAATATTGTATAAAAATTATATTTAAGTTGTATGATATGGTAGCTGTATATAACTGGGTAGAAATAATATATGAAAGTTGTAGATAAATTCTATAAAATATAATTAGTTGCATGAAATTTATTTTTACTATATATAAATCAGATTCAAACACTACAAAAAAAACAGCGTTTAGCGACGAAGTTTAGCGACAAGAGATATTCCGTAGCTAAATAACGACGGATTAGCGACACATTTTGTAATTTGTCGCCAAATAAGCTACAAATAGAATTCGTATAGAATATAGCGACGGAATAGCGACAAACACTAATATTCGTCGCTAAATGTTAGCGCCTTTATTTTACCTACAAAATTAGCGATGAAAAGGACGCGACAAAATTATTAAAACATAGCGACGGATTTAATGTCAAAAAAATCTGTCGCTGAAGTCCTTTTACTTATCAAGACATTCCAAAGTTAATTGCGACAAAATATTCCGTCGCTAGTTTTTTAAAAATAAAATTTCATTTGATATTATTAGCGACAAACATTACGTCCGTCGCTATTTCGTCGCTAAAAAAACTAGTTCCATTAATAAATTTGCATTAGTTATTATTAGCAACAGAAATTCTATCCGTCGCCAATTCCGTCGCTAATTTTTTGTAAATTAAATTAGGATAACACACACTCTTCTCTATCAGACTCCCAATACAATTAGGGCAAGACGCCCACTTCCTCTCCTCTCTATCACAGACTCTCACTCTCAATACTCTTCAACAATGTGAGTTTTTTACTTTAAATGCAAAAAATTAGGTGTTAATCTAGGATTAATGTCTGGAAAATAGAAGAAAACTTTCAAAATTGCAAGATTTTTGCTTCGGAACTCTGAAATTCTTCAAGCTGGTCTTACATTTCTTGTATTGTCAACTTTCAGGGCTTTTCCTTCCTGCAATTGTAAGGCCAATGCTTGATTATTTTGAATCATCAAAGCAAGTCCCTCAACCTGCTGTAAGTTTTGTGAGTTAATCGTCGCTTTGGTACCAATTTCGCTGCTCCTTTTTATTTTTTTTGTAAATCAAAAGTATTCGTACTGTACCTTCTCCTTCAAAGTTGGTTTTTATGGATCTCAGTGGTGTTTTTTTGGGGGCTTCCGAGGTTTATCATTATTGAAGTATTTGTTTAAATGTCTTCTTCGTACTTGGTTGGTAAATGTTGCGCGCCCCATGCATCTGTAATTGAGGTTTTTTTTCTTTCAAATTTCTCAATTTTAGTTCCAAGTTGTCTGTGGTGTGCGCTTTATTTTGATCAATTTTAGTAATTTTTTCTGTATTCTTGCATTCATTGAATGTAATTTGTTATTGTTACTGTAGCTTTGGTGTTGGTAGGTATCAGCTACAGGCTATGTTCTTTTGGATAGTGTGCTATTGAATTTTCAGATCTTGGTGTTGCTCCGTTTTGGATCCACAAGGAAGGCTCAATTTTGGTAACTTCTATTAAACTGAGTCTGCATTTTCTTTCTAGTAGCTGTTAACCAGTTTCACGGACTAAATAAATTATGACAGTTCCCATACAGATAAAATAAACAAATGTCTACCTTTGTCTGATATCAGCACCTAGTATTATTAGCATTTGAATAGACGAGTGCCATATGTCGCACGTCATAAGGGTGTGCCTTCTCTGTTCTGTCCCTGTTTCTGGCTTTTGTTTTAGGCCATAAGGGTTCTGAAATTGGCCAGCAGTATAACTGAAAGTGGGGTAGATGGATAGTATATATATATTGCTGAAAGTTGTCGATATGTATAGGTTGCTCATGATGTTTATTAGTCTTGCCTGTTGCTTTCTCCTTTCTTGGATGGTATTATTACCCTCCCTTTCTTTCTTTCTTTTCCTTTCTTGGATGGTATTATTACCCCTTCTCCTTTCTTGAATAGTATATGTATACTGCTGATAGTGCTGGGAGCGGAGTTACCATTCCTTTGCTCTGTTTCATCTGTTTGGTGTTTATTTTTGCTATTGCGGGAATGGTTAAAGTTTTGATCTTTTTTACATTTCTTTGTGGAATTTATTGTGATATTGCTATTGTTATGGTTAGTACATTATCATGTGATCCATTCTCTCCATTTTGGCTATCACTGTCAGCTTTTCAGCTGTAAATACTTTACTGGTACAATAGACCCTTGTTATTGCTGTTATATGATCTATATGTAAGAGTTCTACTAGAATGTGATTGCAAAGCTGCATGCCTGCTTTCACCAAACAATTTTTGGGTTTATTCTGATTTACTCTAAGTACTGCTTTTCTAAATGCATATCAGTTTTCTTTGCAAATGAAATCAGAAAACTGTAACTGTTTAAGGGTCAATGCTATATGGCCAATGCTATAGTACTGCTTTTTTAAATGCATATCAGTCTTCTTTTATTCTCATTCTAATTTTACTGGTTTATTATCAGGAAATTTTTTTTCCCTTCTGTTCATTATTTCCCTTTCATAAAGATTATGTTCCTCAATATATAGCATTTCATTTGTCTTTAAGATTCTTATTTTGGTCAAAGAAAGGAACTGAGCATTCCAAGATTTGTTTTCATTCCAAGATTGGGGTGTTAGTAATGTTGATACCCAATTTTTCCCTATGTATTTATATATACTCAAAATATTCTCAAAATAGTATGTACATGCATATATAAGCATGCCCAAGAGTTTTGGTATATTTTCCTTATTTTTAAAGATCTTAAAATCAATTTGTTGTCTATTTTAATAGTACAAAATTCAATAATTATTCCCAAACTGCATTTTGGTGAATAATTTATTTCATTCTCATATTTACACTAAGATATAATTAAGGTAATTTTTGCGTATTTTTATACATTTGTTTGGTATTTTTTTTAGCTAAATTGCATACAATTGCAATTGTGGCCTATTTTACAATTAACGGCATTTCACAATCATAAAATCACTTTTAGTATTTTTACATTAATATTTATATGTTATTAATTAGTCCAGTACCTGTAATTTATTTTTAAGTCATTTCTTACTATTTTTATAAAATAATAAAAAGGGAAAATTGGCTATTTAACAAACAGCTCTTATTATTTCAATTATAGCCAATTTGGACCCATCCCCATCAGATTTTTAATTAAACCCAAATCGCCCAATAACCCGTTTAAACCAGCCCGACCTAAGCCCCCTTTGATCTGAACCGTTGATCTTTGAGATCAACGGCCTCAAATCGCCCTTCCTTAATTAAACCTAATGACTAACCCTAATTCCCTCATTTTCATTTTAGTAGCCGCCCCTGAACACCCTCCCCCTCTCAAACTCTCTCGAGTGTTCTTGAAACCCTAATCACCTTCCCCCCGTTTTCGACCTCTAACTCACCAGAACCCATAGCGTCTCAGGCCATGGATGATCTATGCTTACCTCTTATCGCTCCTATGTGCTTGGTACTCGAAGGTTCGAGGCTAGACCTCAAAGGTCTCCACCCAGACCTCCGCAGACTTGAGGTTCCCGGCCATCTCCTGCCTGGCTCCGGCACAACTTAGCCTCCTGAGCCTGTTTCCAGTCTCATCCGACTTAGATCGGACGTTTTCGAAGCCTTTCTCATTCTAGGGTTCATCTGAAAACCCTAACTATCGAGGTTCTTCTTCGGTTATCTCCAGATCTGTGTGTATTCATGCTTTATCTTGAGTTTTCAAGCGGTTTCCCCAATTTTTCTTTTTAAAATCTTACTTTCAAAGTCGCCTCTTTCCTGGTTTACGGCTTTCCGAAAATGCTTCGGTGTTTTCCGACTTTTCTTCTTCCTTTCTTATGTGTGTTTTATATTCTTATGTGTTTTCATATATACATGTTCTTCTACCATGTTTTCTGTATTTTGTTCTTCTCTCTACTATGTTTCCACATGCTATGTTTATATGCCATGTTTCCATGCTATGTCTCACATGCTATGTTCTGCTACTTGCCTTCCACTATGACTTGATATGATTCGTCTACTGCATTTTTTCAACCATGTTCATTAAGTGTTCCTACTATGCCTGCTTAAGCGTATTTGCCTTTACCGTCTCTTCTATTCTCATTGTGTTTCAAATTAATTCCCTTACTCTATTTTACATTAAACTTTCTACTGCATCTGCTTGTTTCTCTTCTTTGCATTTGGTTCAAGTCGAAAACCCTAGGATTTGGGGTTTTTTGACGAGTGTGGTCTTTTATGTTTGGACTAGGGTTCCATTCGAGCCCTGGACTCTCTCAAATTCACTTTGGATCCATATAATAAGTTTGAATCCTTTTGTGTATGAACTCTTCTGATTAGCATGACAACCCCTTTTATATGTGTTAAAATCTTTCTTTAAAAGGTTTTCCAATTTGTGTTCGAATCAGAATCCTTTTTTTGGGGTTAATTGATTGCTACTAATTCTTCTTAGGTGAAGCCTCCCTTCACCTTTTTCTGACTTGGTTCATTCACATAAAATTTTCGATCCTTGATTGCTTGGCTGTCAACTGATTTCCTTTCCTTAATTTGCATGACCATGTACTGTCAAAAGCCTTTCCTTAAATAACTATTATGTATTTACCCTTCTTGCATTACTTTGAAAAGTGTTTAATTAACTCCTTTCCTTATTTACCTTGCCCGTTTGAAATCAGAATCCCTTAATTAAAGGGAAACCTTGTGTGGTTGATTTTCAAACTATTTTCTTACCTATTTCTGCTTCTCTTCTGCATTATAAATACATGACACAATTTTTTTTTAAAAGACACACGATTTTTAATCATCACAACTCTCTTCTAAAAGCTTACACTCTTGCTCCTTGATTGCAACTTGGCTTCCCTGAGTCTACAGCTTCTCCCTACTTGCTTGTTTCTGAAAACTGGTATGCCCTTTCATTTAAACTTTTGCCCATCCCTATATGTTTATTCTATAGTTTCATTCTTCTGTGTGGTTTGCTGCTCATGCTGCGTAGCTTATGCTGAGTATTTTTCTTTCTTTGCTTCTGCTTTCATATGAATCCCTACCCCTAACCCCCTTTATGTGTTGAGTTGAAACCTTGGCCTGACAGTATCCCAATTACTGCCTAGGCTATGGTTTGACCTTCAATAGGTTCTGGACTCTCCCATGTTTGGCTAGTGGGCTGGTCAGGGGTGTGCCAGCATTTTATGTTGCTGGGCATGACCACCAGCCTGCCTTGGCATCCTTTATATCCCTCTATTGCACTTACACTTCTTCCTAGACTCTAAGTTCTACCCCCCTCCAATGAGCCTTGCCTTGGGACCTTGAGCTCCCTCTGAACTTGGACATTGGAGCCTTCCCGGATAAGAGATAGGCTTTGGAACCTGATCCTGGCAGTTGGGTCATATCATATTGTTAGACCTTGTGTTTGAATTAGGCTCCTTGGATGCAGCTTAAGAGTTCTGATTGTAATTTCATTTCCCGTTTTCGATTCATCTTGGTCTGTAATAAAATTTTGTAATAACCTCTGGGGTGATTAGTGAAACGAGAAGGGTAACCATGCATGCAAAGGGATAGATATCATGCTCACAGGGAATTACCACACTTTTGTACTCATGTATCTTGCCTACAGCTTCGCACATTTGCATATCACATGTAGATACCGTGTCTATAGGTTTATGCATCCACATAGATATTATGTCTATAAGGTTTCTGCACTTATGCACATATAGATACCATGTCAATAGGTTTATGCATCCATATAGATACCATGTCTATAGGAATTTTGCATCTCCATATGGATACCACGCCTATAAGTAACCAGAAATCCAGACTCTACGCATGCATTGGTCACTAGGCAAACCTATTTATAGGATTAAAAACTAACAGTATTCAGATATCATGCCTATAGGATTTCTGCGCTCTTGCTATGCCTGTAAGAAATGTTTAAATTAACGACGCGAGAAAGCATGCCTATAGGAACTATCAATCAAATCTGAATCACTCGTTTTAAGATTAGCACTAATTACAGAACTCGCACCATTCTTTTAAATCTGGCAACTTTTTAATCAGTTTGTTTCTTTATTCCTGAAACCAGTAGATGCCATGCCTAAAGGTCATCACGTAGGCAAACAAGTATGTAGTTAATTAATTGCACTAGTCTTCGATAATTGCAGCCAGGCGAGCCTAATGCGAACTTCTTGCTTGAAAATATGTAATGAACTAGCCTGCCTAACGTTAAGTATAATTTCGACCTAATCAGTACATGTAAGACATGCTAAACTACATGATTTTCTGTGATTAAAGGAGGTTTATCTGAGCCTTAATTGTTTTGTGCTCCCATAACTGCTTTCATATGTTTGCTTGACGCCTTAGTATTTTAACCTTTTTAAACCTCTGAAAAGCCAAGCTTCCTCCCTTTAGGAATAGTAGTCCTAAAAGCCTCCAGGACTGATAGGTGGGACGGGTAATAGCATGCAATAAGTAAACGAGACTATTTCGCGCTTAATACCTTAACAGGGTGGGAAGGGTAGACATGGAGATGATGATCACACGATAACACTACGCGTACGATGGATTACCGGTGTTGTGTGGATGATCTATGTGATTTATAAACCTAGGACCACTTTCCTTATACAACTTTGTTTAATATCTATAAAATCCTGTCTTTTCAACTACTCAAAACTCCTCCTTAATTTTACTGGATTATTCCTTTTCTTCCAAATTTTTCTTCTTTGTTTATTCAATATATTGATTAATTTTCTGCGTTTAGTCCCCCTTTTAAACAAATTGTAGATCATCTAGACCTTGATCCCACATACTTGTCACGTATCTATTTGCAACCCTTATGTCTAAAATCATTTGTGTATCTATTCGCATTAAAGTCTTAACATAGCATGGCCGGGAACCACACTAGTGGATCTTGAGGAGTTCCTAACACCTTCCCCTTGAGATAATTTCTAGCCCTTACTCGAACTCTGGTTTTCCAACTCAAAAACCCTTCTTAGTGTCCTAATGCACTCAATCATTAGGTGGCGACTTTTCAAATCCAAAAACCCAATTCCCAAACGGAAATAGAGTTGTCTTCCCAAATGTCGTAAACCCGATTTCGCGAGAAAAAGGGGGCGTCAACAAGTAATTCTCAGCTTATTCTGATGTCAACTTGTTATTCATTTTAGAAAGCATTCTGTTGTCTTATTAATAAAGAACTCTAAGGTCTTGTTTATCTTAAGATTATACAATTGGAATACCGCGAAGAACCTTTAAAGCAAACTGTATTATTCAAGTGTGAATGGTTTGATCCAACTGTGAATGTTGGTGTCACAGAGCATAACCAATACAAACTAGTCGATGTGAACCATCGCCGTCGTTTTAACAAGTACGAACCTTTTATTCTTGCGATGCAAGCAACTCAAGTGTGTTATGTGCCTTATCCTAGCACGAAAAAGGACAAGGATGATTGGGTAGCTGTTTTGAAAGTTAAACCTCAGGATGTTATTGAACTTCCTGATGAGGCAATAACATCAGCTCCAGAACCGACTCTTCCATTCCAAGTTGAAGAAGTTAAAGTCCATTTGATAGATATGAATTTCACCACTGATGAGAATATAATCTTACATGATCCAAATGGGGATGTAATTGAAATGGTTGAACCCATTAATGATGGACTATTGATAGAGAATCAAGAGTTCGAAGAAGAATCTTCAGAAGACGAGTATGAAACTGAGGATGAAAATGAGGAGGATGATGAGGAAGAGTTTGAAGAAGAAATAGATGATGACTAGTGTGTTGATAATGCACTACTATATTTTTATTGACTTTTGTTTTTCTAGTAATCTGTGTGGTATGTTATAAGTCATGTATCTATTTTGTAGTATGATCTATAGAGAATCGAATCGAATACCACATTTGTAATAATCTAAATGGTATAGTACTCTTCTAGCTTACGTTGTGTTGTGAATCGAATACCACGTTTGTAGCATGTATTTTTCTGCTTTGTGTTGCTTCAATATTGGATTCTTTTGATGAATCTACCTTTGTTTCTTTGCTGCTAAAATGAGCTTAAGAAGCAAGCTCATTAATAGAATCAGCAATTTATTCGACACAAATGACGATATCGGTTAGTATTGATGCAACTGTAGCCACTGGTATGACTTCTAGTAAGTTAATATCTTCCCAGAAACCTGATATGAGAAGTGATTTCAGGTTCTTGGCAGCTGCATTTAGTTAGTCACCATGTATCTCTTCGCATTCTATTGAATTTTATAAGCTTTCATACTAGCTTAGCTTCTGTAACTTAGCTTCTGCTTGTTTGAATTTTCAGTAACTTAGCTTCTGTAACTTAGCTTCTGCTTGTTTGAATTTTCAGTAACTTAGCTTATGTAACTTAGCTTCTGTAACTTAGCTTCTGCTTGTTTGAATTTTATAAGCTTTCATACTAACTTAGCTTCTGCTTGCTTGAATTTTCAGAGACTATACTGCTCAGGTTAAGTTGGAGCATCCCATTGCAGGCCAAAAAAAGGAGCAATTGGAAATATGCCTCGAGGTAGAGGTCGAGGTAGCGCAGGTCGTGTAGGTAAATCTTCAGTTAGGGGTAATTTCTCTACTCGTGAAAATATGCCTACTGTTCCCATTCCCACAATCAATCCTCAACAAGGCGGTACGAGTTTCTCAGGTGGACCGGTTCACATCAATCAAGTTCAAATATTAGGTCCTAGTAGTACACCACCTATTCAAACATCAGACTATGGTAGTACCCCAACTATTAATTTGGAACCACCTCCAAATACCCCTAATCAGAGCAACACAATAGGTGAGGGTACATCTTCTCAAAGCAACATAATAGGCGAAACTGAGTGTAGCAGTACCCGCCGACCGCGGACGCTTCTTACTATTTCTCCTACAGGGTTAGTCCATACTTGTACTATTACTTTTAGTATATTGTTATTGGTACATGGTATTCCTTTAAATAATGTCTTCTAATTTGTTCAGGTTGGAGCCTTCATATGAATGCTCTGAGTTTATAACTAAGCCTTTCAAGAATGAACTTGATCCTAATGGATTCAACTGGAAAAACGTCTCAAATGAGTTAAAAAAAAAATTATTTTGGAGAATTCAAGGTATAATCCATCACAATTAGATTTTGAAAGTATATTAACTTTTATATGTAACTTATTAATGTTATTACTTTATAAAATTATTTCAGAAGGCTTTCTACTGGGATTCTTCAATTGATAGTGTGGTGCAGATCCAATGGGAGCGTAGGGCAGCAAGAAGATACAATGATTTTGTTAGCAAACTAAAAGCAAATATGGTGCAACCGGAAACTATTCCAAATAATGTGTGGGAAAGTTGGTTGAGACTTTGGAAAGATCCTAAGTGTGTTGAAAAGTCAGAAATAAATGCAAAAAAATTATTGTGGTGGGAGCGAAATTGCCATTGGGACTCATACAAGTGGCTCTATCAGTGTTGGGGAGCATCGCAAGAGACTTGTAAGTGTATTTATAACTTTTCCCTCAAGATTTTGCCACTGAACATGAACAAGTTCAGCTTTTAGATATAGATCTCCTGCAACTCAAGATTGCAGCTTGAGAATAGTAAATTTACAAAAGAGAAATACCTGAAAACCAGTGACCTTTTTGGCTAAGGACTTCTTCTTGGGTTCGAGTTCAATGTTTTCCTTTTGTTCCAGTTTGCATTCTAAATCACAAACGCGTTGAAAGTTAACAGTTGCATCCCTCTGAAAATTATCACTAGAATAAACGATTCTGTGTGATGATTTACTTACCATAGTAGAATTGCCCTCCTTGTTTTGACAACTGATTCAAGTTGTGTGGTAAAGGGCCTTTTAATCCCAAACCACACTGATATAAGGCCTTTTAAAAATATCCTGATGCTTCCCAAAGTGCCTTCTCCTAAACATTTCACTGATATAAGGCATGTTAGTTTATGCAATGTCCTGAGTAAGTTTTTTTCCAAGGTTCTCAACACTAGGCTGAATAAATTACTTCCTAACCTGATCAGTGATAATCAGAGTGGGTTCATAAAAGGGAGAGCTATAACTAAAAATATTTTGCTAGCCTAGGAAATCATTCAAGACATTGGTAAATCAAAAAGAGGTTTAAGACCGGGAGATCCTATTTCGTCTTCTCTATTTATTCTTTGTGCTGAATTTCTTTCAAGGAAACTTAATAAACTATATTACTCTAGTAGTTTTTTAGGTTTTCATATGAGTAAGAACGCACCTCTTATTAGTCATCTTGCTTTTGCTGATGACAAAATCTTATTCTCCAGTGGTATCAGAAATTCTTGAAAGATGATCATGGATACTCTTAGTACTTATGAAAAAGTCTCTGGCCAATTAGTAAACAAGCAGAAGTCATGTGTTGCCATTAACCCCAATGCTCCTATTGAAGCAGCTGCAAGAGTAGAAAACATCACAGAAATGGAGCATAAAATATTTCCAACTAAGTATCTGGGGTGTTCAGTGTATGTGGGCAGGAAAAAAATTGCTATTTTTTTAGATATTTTTATAAGGCCTTGGAAAAAATCTTACTCAGGATATTTTTACCCAAGAAAAAGACTAGTAAGTAATACTAATACAGTAGTGAGTAGTGGGAAAAATTGGAATAGGAGAGAGGTGAGACAGTGAGTAAAAGATCACATGATTCTTACTCAATTCACTGCCTCTGTACTCTGTAGTAAAGCTGTCATCTTTTCATTGATTCAATCTTCTTGGAAAATATAAAAAGACTGGATCTTTGATTTTTGGTATTACTACTTACTACGTAAAATTGCATACCAAAATTCTGCAGATGTTGTGTGTGTGTGTGTGTAACTGGGGGTCAAGTGCTGCGTTTTACATATATTAATTTTATTGTTTGGGAGAAGGTGTGGAGATAGCTTGGAATTAACAGCTTTCCAACAAATATGGTAGTGTTCTTGCTGACAATCACAGTGGTTTAAGCTGAATTTAACGTTAAGTCTTGGTTAGACTTTAGGACTTGGACCAGTAGAAAGAATTGGAAAATGTTTATGATCTGTCTTACTTCTTTCAGTATGCATTGTGTAGAGAGGTATAAAGGGAAGAGCTTTTAGTTCCTAATTGCCCAACTATTTCCTTTTGTTTCTCTATCTTCTTAAATAATTTTTGTATAGGCTATTAAAAAGGGTCGAGACCCAACACCAAGTGAGTTGCATTTGCACATCCATACACATGGTAATGATGGAAAATCTTTTGTTGCTGAGAAATCCCGAAACATACATGTAAGATAACTTTTTAATTGACTTTACTTTCATATATTTTTTTTTGTAAATTGAATGTTCTTATTAACTCTTCTACAGGAAAAATATCAGGAGATATTACAACAACAAACACAAACTTAATCTGATATTGATCAGTGCAAAGCATATTATCAAGCCGCGGGAGGAGAAAAGAATAGTAGAGTATATGGTCTTGGATCGCAAGCAAAATGCTACTACGGGCCAAATCTTCATGGCTCTTTTGGATCTGATGCTACATCGTCAACAACACCTCCAAATGCTCAATCAACACCGACAGGGAATCTGGATGAGTTAGTGATGCGATTGATTCCTGCATTGACAGATCATATAGTTCCTGTAATTGTTGAGCGGATACGGGAATTAGTTTCCTTACCCTCGCATCAGCCAAATACTGATATGGCACCTACAGTTCCAACATCTTCTACTGCCGCTAACATTGATGAGGTTCATGCATTAGGTTCTGATGATGACCGTAACTCTCCAGCCTAGCATAGTTAGCTTATTTTGTTTGGTCATTATTGTTGGTCCTTGTGAATTTTTGTACTTAATGATACTGTTATATGAATTATTCTATATATTTTGGACCTTGTTGAATTTATATTAATATCAGTGACTTTTTTATTAAGTGTATTTAATAGTTTATGTAATATGTTTGAACAGAGTACATTTAAAATAATAAATAAAAAGAATTTTAAAAAATCAATAATATAGTAAAAATGAATCAGCGACGGATACATTCCGTAGCTAAAATTATCGCGTAAAATAAAATCTTGCGACGAATTAGGAACAAAAGGTGTTTGTTGCAAAAAGCAGGGACAATTTGCTATAACACGGCTAGCGATGGAAAATTTCCTCGCTATAAGAACAAACGACGAATTTTATTATGTACTGCAGCGACGAAAGTCATCAATATAGTGACAGAAACAAGCTATATAGCGACGGATATTTCCCTCGCTAAACTTTGCTACAAAAATATGTCGTCGCTACTCCGTCGCTAATTCTGCGACGGTTTAGTATTTTCCGTCGCTATAAGCCTAGCAACGAGGATTTTAGGGACCAACTTGAATCCGTCGCTATTTCGTCGCTAAACACCTTTAGCGATAGAAAACATTGATTTAGCGACGGAATGCGGCCGTCGCTAAACGTTGTTTTTTTTGTAGTGAAAATATACAAAAGACATATTGTATAAAATTTGTATAAAAATTATATTTAAATGGTATGATATTTTAGTTGTATATAACTGAGTAGAAATCATACCACTGTCCAGAAGTGCTATGTGGAAATGGCCAAACAGGTTAATGAAAAACTTGGCAAAATCGATTCTTATTTTGTGAAGCTTGCTGGATGCTATTGTCACATGGATTGAAACTTGGGATGAACTCAATCCTGCTACTAAAGACACTGCCAAGATTCCCAATGGTGCTTCCAAATAAAATATTTCATAGTTATTTGTGAAATTTAGTTTATTTGCAGTATTTATAGCTTTGCTTTTATGTAATTCTGTCATCTATATCCTTTTACATTTTTTTTTACTTGAGTTGTAAATGTAGCCATAATTTGGAAGAAATGGATGTAGAACTTCCAATAAATTCTCGTAAACTGTAATAAGCCATTTGGTCATAACACTCTGACGCGAGGATCAGATGAAATAATTTTCTGTTTACTTCTCTTTCAATTCTTTTTCTTTACTTTTTTCCTTAATTAACGAAAATAAGAACATATTTGCTTAAGTTTACAAATGGATTGCTAATTTAGAGCGTAAATATTCTAGTATTACTAATATGTAATACTAATTAGTACATCTATTACCAATTAGTAATATTTGTAAGTAATCACCTAGCAATCCCTTGATTGAAGGCACTAATATGGATTGGGAGCCTTTTAAGATGGATTTTATATATTTTGTAACTAAAATGTGTTTAGATCAGGTAAATACCAAAACATGAATATTTTTTGTAATAAGGTTTCCAATAGTGTATAGGTATGTAAAAATCCCTTCCTTTATACATGGTATAATATAATAGTTTAAGTTTTGTCTATTAACAATGCATATGTTTTTCTACAAAAATCGTGTAAATTTACTACAATTGATAACTTTTCAAATCAAATCTATTTTTTTTAAGTGAGAACCTACTATAACTAGTTAGATTCTATTGTAACTTCCTAAAAAAGTTTTAACTTGTACTCACTTTTAAACAACTTTAGGCTTCTTTCTCCTCCTCATTCTTCTCCTTCGTTTTCTGAATGCTGAAGCTTGGGATATTGTTATGCATTGCCTAATGATTCATATATATCTGTTTGTCCCATTATGTTCAGTTTGGTCTTATTCACAATAATTTAACCTCTTGGATATTTTAGCTTTACAGGCACACTGGTTTTTGGTTCTAATTTATCTGTAGTAACTTGTTTTCATGTCGAAAATATTTTTCATTCTTTAATCTTTGAAATGAACAACATCAATCGCTGCTAATCATGATCTATTAAATTCATTGTTGTTAGAACTTCAGCTCTAAGACAACAAATATAAACAAAAACTTCAGCTCCTATAATGCTCAAGTTCAACAAATACAAAACAAACTTCAGCCCTAGAATGCTGAAGTTCGGCACTTACAAAACAAATTTCAGCTCCTAGAATGCTGAAGTTCAACAATTACAAAACAAACTTCACCTCCTAGAATGCTTAAATTCAGCAATTACAAAACAAAAATTTCAGCCGAAACATGTTGTAGTTTTATTGAATTGAAGTTTGCCATTGCACTATGAATTAAAATTTGCGTGATTGCCTTTGCAAATTAGGCCAAATTTCAGGCAAAAATATCTGAAGTTTTGCTATACTTCAGGTAAAACATTCTGAAGTTCAAACTTTAGACATAAATTTTTGCTACATTAGACCCGTATGTCTCAAGTTACATGAAAAATGGATACACTTGCAATTTTTTTTGTAAAGCGGGTATAGGTTAAAAGGTGACCCAAAAACTAGGTATAGATGCAAATGCCCCATTCTATTGATAGTGTAAAGTTCCGTTATACGGTCAATGTGTATATATAACATAAACATAAGTAAGTTTAGCGCAGATAATAGATACACGTATAGCAGTTTTGGTAGACTGAAAGTCTGAAACTAATCGAGACCTTAAAGTGCAGTTCATCAAAACAACACGTGGGTAACAGATATTAAAATTGGCTAAAGTAGTAACCAAAGTGTTACGTATTATTAACTTGCACACAGTACATCTCAGACAAAACACCTTTGTCCTCACAAAGATTCTTGTCATACATAGTGCTAAAGAAAGACGACCAACATAGCACGTACTCTCTTTCTTTATCCTTCAAAAAAAAAATAAGACAACAAACTTGTGGCTAGAATAACCACAAAGGGATACATTATATTCTGACCAAGTTTTTTGTTCCTCACTACAACAAATTTGATTTTTAACCACGAAATTATTCGCTACGACGAAAAATTCGTCACTAATTATTTATTTTCTGTGACAAAAGTTACATTTCGTATACAAATACATGAGCCACATAGTTTTAGTGACGAAACGTGAATTTTGTAGCAAAGTTTTGTCTCCAAAAGTTTCCCTCCAAAAATATGATGGCGCCATTTTTTTAGGCATTCTTTAGCTACGAAGTGAAATTATTAGTGACAAATTATATTTGTCACTGATCCACTAAATTATTAGTGACAAAAAATTGTTCGTCTTAAAAAATATTTACATTTAGACACGAAAAGTTTCCGTCACCAAAATTAAAGTAAACTTTGGCTACGAATTTTTGTACTCAACTGTGAGCATTATTTTTGTCACTAATAATCTAAAAAATCTGTGATAATCTTTAAATTATCTTTATGTAATCTGAAATTTAGCTACAGCAAGGGTTTTTCTTAAAATAATACATACAATGTTTAAAAAGGCTATGAAATAATTTCATCACAAATTATTCATTTTTAGTGGCAAATCACATTTTATATTTAAAAATGCATGAGTCACATGTAATTCGATAATTAAGTATAATTTTTGCAGGGATAATAAATATATCATGGATATTCATTAATTTTCACCGGGAATGATTTTTCTTTTGCATCATAAGTTCAACTATTGTTTATAATTGGATTAGTAATCAAATCTACTTTATAAATTAACTAGTTACTATGTATGTACATTTTTAGTTTCGTATATTTAAAAAAAAAAGTGCTATCGTTCTAAAATGTTGATATTCAAGTAAGATGGGATTATATTTAATTTGAAATTTAGAGACAGTTCCATGGAAGAAAGTTTTTATGATACTTAATTTCCTATGTGAAATTAAATGAACTTGATACTTTTCAAGAAAATTGGAAGGTGGTGTAGCTTAAAAGCAGGCATATTCTACCCGAATTTTACCCAGAAAATTGACCGAAGTCGGTCGGAAATTTCATATTTTTTTTTCCAGAAATTCAAAATTTCCAACCGAATTTGGACGAAAAATTCAATATGAAATCTGCAAAATCTTGAAATTTCCGACCGAAGTCGGTCAGAAATTACTTTTTAATTTATTTTACTATACCGACCGATTTCGGTCGATTTACTATAATTTACAAGGAATTATAAAATTATTATATATTTAAAATATTGACCGATGTCGGTCGCTATTTGAAAAATAATAAAATAAAAATTTAAATTAATACCGACCGAATTCGTTCGGTATATTTATCTTTGTTGTCAGTCAACACATTGAATTAACCGATCGACTACGATCGGAAAATTGCGACCATCTTCGGTCGCAATGCGTTAGCGACCATTATTTTTTTAACTAATTAAAAGCGTCGGAAATCAGTTATTTTTTCTCAAATTTCGACCGATGTCGGTCGGTATTCTTGGACGAAATTAGGCATTT